CCCCCCCGCTGGTTTGTCCCGCCCCGCCCGGGTCACAATCACGCGCGCGCCTGGAGCATCCTCCCCCGCTCCGGGCACGCGCCTGTCGCCCCCGGCTGGAGCAGGGCGGGGCCCCCACGCGCATGTTGCAGCCTTCGGGGGCTGCGCGCGAGGCAGGGCTCGAGGTCCAAGCTTTATTGCAGCCAGAGCCAGGCCGGCTGTCCCGGGTTACAAGCGTAAAACACTCGAGCTGCTGTACCGATCCCAACCCGAACACTGCAAACAGGACAGTACCGCTTGGATTGCACCTCCACAAACCACTCAACAGCCTTAACTCTGCTCAGTGGCGACAGCAACATGAAAACAGATTTTCCTTAAAGGTCTCATGGACAGGCCTCATGCCAGCGTAGAAACAAAGAGCTGTGGCAGCCACTTTTCAAAGGCTTACATTACTTTACTCAGAGCCTGCATCTCACAAACAGTCTGTAGGGCTCTTCCTCTGCCAATATCTGTAGTGTCCTTTCAACTACACAGACTGACATTGTGTTCAATACATGCTCTGTCATTCTCCACCGTGCTAAATTAATTAGGGACAAAGTACAGGAACTGTATGGGACCGAGGGCTATATGGAGCCTTTATTTGAGGCCAGCAGCCTTCTTCATTGGACTGGGGAAGATCTCCAACTGGGGAAAATCACTGCCTCAGCCAAGAAAGGGGGCATCCAGCTGAGAGAGTGCGTTCCCCCACCCCAGCCAAAGAAGGGGGTGTTCTTTTCAGTGCAGAGGAAGCCTCAGGAATCAATAAATTATGGGTAGTTTTACTTCAGCCTCTTGGCACCAAGGAGCAATAGCTGCCATTCCCAAGGCTGCAAGGAACGGTTGCTAGGGCAAGGGAAGAGGGTCTGGGACGGAGCAGGAAGGAAAGCACTACCCACCTCCAAACTGGGCCCCTGCTCTGACCACAGGCTCCCTACCTCCTCCCAAAGCCCAGCCTCTCCTCTGAGCAGAGGAGGGCCTCGCCCAACAGCTGAAGCTGTTCCAGGACCTCTCGCTGCATTTCGACAGCCATGCGGTGCACGTGATGGTCAGAGCTGTTGTACATCAATGCATTCTGGAACATCAGCATGAGGTCACGCTGGAACTGGGCTGTGGTCCGGATCTGCCCCTTGGACAGGCGCCTCTTTATGTTGGTTAAATCCATGGGTCTAGAAGAAGGCATGAAACTTAATTGCACACAGCTGAAGACACCCCTAACCTTGCCAGGAGGAGGGGGCACCATCTTCCTGAGATCATAGAGGCCTCATTTTTGTCTCTCTGCAACTCCAAACACTAGACATCTTAGGCCTGATTCTCAGAGGAAAATGGCATGAGAATAGGAAAGCTGCAAAGAAACTGGCAGGTTTAGGTGCCGTGTGTCACACGGCTAATTAACTTGCCAAGGCACTAGCAATTACTTCTGAAAACCAAATGTGACATTGAGCAGAAAAGGAAAGAGGCGTGACCTTGGTAATTAGCACCTGTCAAATTAACTCCAATTCCCTTGTGATTAAAAAGTATCTATAAGGAACAAGACTCTACTGGTACCATAGGAAAAACAGTGGTGAGGAGGCGTGTTGTAAGCACCAAATCTCATTTACATGCCTGTGAAATCGTTACAGAACTGGTGGCTGGAGGGGGGAGGTGGACAAGAATGAATGTGATTAGAAACACAGGCCAGAAATAGCATGAACTTTATCTTGAAAAAATGTACTTAATCCATCTGGGGGAAAATGATCTGACACTCGGCTCCATGCTGGCAAGGGGAACCTTCAATACAGGCGTGAGTGGGCGATTTAGGAGAGGAGACTACAAATGAGACAAGTGTACAACAAATGATAGATAAAAGCACATCAATGCAATTCTAGGCAGCATGTTCCCCAGGGGCCTGGGGCCTGCCCTTGGAGTACTGCTGTCAGTGCTCGGCAAACATTAACTACACAGACAACCTGGCGGGAGCACAGAGAAGAGCAACCATGTGTGGGATGGAGAACTCTTTCGGGCCATCATCAGGCCCTTCTTGCTGGCCACTCCCACAGAAAGGTAGGAGGGAGGGTGTTGGATGGACATGAACACCACATCTCGAAGAACACCAGTTACAAGACAGCAAGTCACTGGTTTTGAAGCTCTGAGTGCTTGTTCATGTCAATTCCAACTGGGTGGCTCACAAGCCCAAGTTCAGGAGGTCCCCAGAGTTGTTCACTTGAAGCTGTACTGATCTACCAAAGGCCATGTCGTCTCTAGCCTACTGGGTAATTGCATAGTGTGGTGAAATTGTGTATGGAGGACCATGTCTCTGCTCTGCATAGTTACGGGGTAGGAACTGGATCCAGGAACACACAGAATAAGCCTGTGCCCCGGTGCAGTGTGCTGTGAACAGAGGGGCAAGCACCTTTGCCAGGCTGTAGCACTCCTGGGATGCAAGACGTGATCTGTGAAGAAACCCACTGAGACAGAAAGACCTTTAATTCTGTCTGGAACGGCTTTGTTCTCTTGCTGAAAAAGGCTAGCACTGTGCAGTGAACGTATCCTCTGCTCCCTGCTGTGTGAGCGCGGCTTAGGCTAGGACTCTGGCAGGAAGATGTGAAACTGGCGGACAACCTTTGGGAGAGGCCTGCACTGCACCATGTCCTTATTGACCACAGTGCACTGGGGCTCTGACGTCACGGCCCTGGCTCAGGCAGCTCCCATCCAAGGCTATTGCCACCAGAGACAGACGGAGCAGAAAGCAAGTTGCCAAGGGTTCAAAGGGTGGCCCTATGAGTCTGGAAAGGACCAGACTGAGGGCCCAAGCTGGAACAGGCTGTTGGACCTGTAGGTATAGCCCCAGGGTGAGGAACCTTTCTGGGGTCAGCAGTCACTGGCACAGAAAACTCAAACAGAAAAAAAGAACAAAACCCTCACGAACGTGGCCCCCAACTGATAAGCAGAAAAACCCAAGGGAGAGACACTCACTCCACTCATGCAACTCAGAGTGCCCTTGCCCTCTGGCCCTGGGGAAGGGGACACGCCAGGGTTCAGGCTCTTGGGTGGGGGAAAATGTGAGGGAACTAAATATCTCCTCCTGTATCTTTAGGCAGCCAGTGGCACCAAGGATGAGGCATCTCTGGGGGCATCGCTGATCATTTTCATCAGCAGCAGCACGATACAGGATGGCCCAGGAGGGTCCTGGGCAAATCACTTTACAGACTTACAGCATCATTGAGATGGCCCTTGCTGAGACACGTAAAACAGGACAAGCGCAGGTCACTCCTTGGCATAAATCTGCCTCAGACTGAGCACAGCTTAAAGCCTAGGGAAAGGGCCTTCCCTAGGGAAGCGTAGGGCCCAGGGCAACCCACCCACCCCAGGCCCTGCCCCAGATCCTGCCCCCATCCTGCTTCTTCCCACCTCCATTGCACCCCTTCCCTGAAGTCCCCTCTCTCTCGCTACACACCCCAGGAATTACCTGGAAGCTCTGGCGCGGGCTGTCAGCAGTTAGGGTGCCTTGCACTCCCCCGAGCCCTGCATCGCTTGGAGGGGTGGGGCGGGCTGGGGCCAGAGGCTCTGCTTGCCAGCGCAGAGGTGAAGTGGAGTGCAGTGGACTGGGAAATGGCAGTGGAGCAGAGTAGGCTGTGGGTTGCTCTGGCCCCTGCCACCACGCTGAGTGAGATGGAGGGGACCAACTCCCTGTGCCAGACCTCCCAGGTAATCTGCCAGGTTGCCTGGGGCCTTGTCTGCAGGATGGTTGAGGTGGCTGCGGTGGGGCCCCCGAAAGCTTGGGGCCTGGGATGGCCAGTGGCTACCCTGAACAGTCCTAGGGACCGGATGACTGCCCATGGACCACGGCACATCCAAGTGCCATATGTTGAAGGGAGAAACCCCCTCTCCAAACAAAACTTCTAATAAGCTATGCAGGGGCTGGAAATGGATGACAGGAGAGGGATCACTTGATAATTGTCTGTTCACTCCCTCCAGGGCATCTGGCATTGGCCAATGTTGGCAGACAGGATACTGGGCTGGATGGACTTTTGGTCTGACAGAGTGGCTGTTCTTATGCACAATAATCCAGTTGATTAGGTCTCAACTGGAGTACTGTGTCCAATTCGGGGCACCACATTGCAGGAAATATGTCGACAAACTGGAATAAGTCCAGAGAAGAGCAACTAGAACGAATAAACTTAAAAATCAACAAATAGTCTCGCAGCACCTTAGAGACTAATACAAAATGTCGATGGTACCACGAGCTTTCGTGGGCACAGCCCACTTCTTCAGATGAATGGAATACACTTAGGGTTAGGGTAAACTCTATTCATCTGAAAAAGTGGATTGTGCCCACGAAAGCTCATGATGCCATCTACAGATTTTGTTGGTCTCTAATGTATTGCAAGATTATTGGTTGTTTTTTAAGTTTTTCTAGTTACAGACTAAGGATGTTAAATAGCGGTTAATTTACTAGTCAAGGGAATTTCCATCGACTACTTGACTAGTCGACAGGCACTTCCGCATTCCTCCTTTGAAATGTGCAAGGGCCCACCCGGGGCTCGTGCACATTTCAAAGAAGGATGCAGAACTCCACGTGCAGGCTGGGGCCACAGGGCAGTCCCGCTGACTCCAGGCTGCATGCAGTGTGCCAGCTTTGAAATGGATTTCAAAGTGGAAGCACCCTCAGGGAGCCTGGGGCCAGCGGGGGATGCAGAGTCCCCCATTGACCCCACGCTCTATGTTGCGCTGCTGTTTTGAAATGCCATGTGGAACTCGGGATTAGCTGGGGACTCACCAGCTGAGCGCAGGTTCCGCGCGGCATTTCCCCAGAACCCGGGGTCAGCTGGGGACTCCTCAGCTAATCCCGGGTTCCACAGAAATGCTGCGCGGTGTCCATTAGCTGACTCCGGGCTCCCCGTGGCATTGCTGCTTTGAAATGTCGTCTTGGTGGTTCAAAGGGGCAGCGCCACACAGCTGATCCCGGGCTTAGCTGTGCAGAGCTGTCGCTTTGAAGTACCCCCTCCTTACCCTTTGCTGTCTCTATCTGATAAAGGCAGCAAAGTGGGGTGGAGGGGGAGGGAATCGACTAGTCCTTAACATCCTTATTACAGACTACCCCATTGAAACTTTTAAAATGATTCAAGGTCTAGAAAAGATGACCTATAAAGGAAAATTAAATAATGGTGTTTGTTTAGTTTGGAAAAGAGAAGACAGAGAGGACGTAAGTTTTCAAGTATCAAAAAAGGTGCTACAAGGAGGACAGAGAAAAATTATTCTTCTTAATCTCTGATGATAGGACAAGAAGCAATGGGCTTAAACTGTGAGAAGGGAGGTTTAGGTTGAACATTAGGAAAAACTTTCTGTCAGGGTGGTTAAACACTGAAATAAATTGCCTAGGGATGCTGTGGACTCTCCATCACTGGAGATACTTAAGAGCAGGTTAGATGAACACCTCTCAGGCATGATCTGGATGGTTCTTGGACCTGCCGTGGGGGCAGGGAACTGGACTTGACTACTAGAGGTTCCTTCCAGTTCAAGTATCAGAGGGGTAGCCGTGTTAGTCTGAATCTGCAAAAGCGGCGAGGAGTCCTGTGGCACCTTATAGACTAACTGAAGTGTAGGAGCATAAGGTGCCACAGGACTCCTCATCGCTCTTCCAGTTCAAGTATCAGAGGGGTAGCCGTGTTAGTCTGAATCTGCAAAAGCGGCGAGGAGTCCTGTGGCACCTTATAGACTAACTGAAGTGTAGGAGCATAAGGTGCCACAGGACTCCTCATCGCTCTTCCAGTTCAAGTATTCTATGATTATTTACTAACTATAATCACTCAACAACTAAAATGTATGTGTAACAAAATGATACTGCAAAGCACGTGCTTGCCGAGCAAAGAGCAATGGGGAGTTCCAGCTAGCCATCACAGGCAGTAAGGAGGAACTGAAGCAGGGGTCGTGACTCCAGGGGTTACCTAGGCCAACCCTACAGATACTGCTAGGAGAAAAATCTTCCAGCTTCATGCATGTGGCACACGCACACCTGACTCGAACTGACAGACACGCACTTGAGGAACCACTGCTCTGCTGCTCTCTGTCTGTGTAGTCACCTACGTTTCTACTGCTGGTAGTATCAGGACCGGCATCCCTGGCACTCTAGCCCACACCTCAGCCCCACAGGACTCTCCCCCCTCCCGCCCGTTTGTAAAGCCCCCCCCAAGTGATAATACAGCGATATGAAGGGGGCCTGAAGAGCCCGGTTTGTGAGGCAGGACTAAGTTAGTCTGCACAGGTTGGCTCACTCCTGTAGTGTGTAGGGGCCCTGTCAGGATGGGGGTCTGTTGCACTGTGCTGTACAAACACATTGTTCTGCCCGTACCAGCTCACGAGCAAAGCGGCATTGATGGCAAACAAGGGGGCAGGGACGTAATACATGGTGCATGTGCTGGGTCACCACACACATCAATGGCCCCAAATCACTTAGGAGTTTTTATGAAAACAAGTGAAATCCGCTCTCCCCTCTGCCACCCCGTCTGGCTAGCCTCTGGAGGCACTGGAACAGGGGAAGGGGCTAAGAACAAGTAAACAGCGTCCACGTCTTTGAAGGATGGAAGAAGAGGAAGTGGGAGTACTTCAGTGGGCCAAAGGTGCAACATTTCAGAAAGGCGAAAGCAAAGCTGTATACATGAAAACGCTTTGGAAGAGTGAGATGTGCTCAGGAATGGATGGGGTGGGGCAGGATAGAAGCCTCCCTCCCCCCACTGCTTTGAACTGAGCCTTGGAGAAGACACCATAGGGAACCTGCCCCTGATGGGAAGCAGCTACTACTGTGACAAGCCTGAGGCAGACAACAGAATGGTGCCCCATAGCTTTTTCCTCTCTACATGCTGGGGCCCTTGGGAGGTGGAGGAAGCAGATGAAAATGCTCTCGAGCAGCCTTCCTACCTTCTCACCACATCCTTGTATCCAGGAGCCTGCTTGTCTGAGACTGGCTTCAGGAAGGGGCCACTGTACCTGGAGGGACAAGCTCAAAGAGACAGGAGAGAATCAGGTTTGTCCCTCCCTGTTCAGCTGAGTCTTGGCGAGAAGGCAGCACCCATGAAGGCTGGTGGGGGTCAGTAAGTAGCAATCCCCAGGGAAGGACGGGGAGGGTGGCAGGAACCCTTGGATCCACTCTTGGTGTTCGCTACGTCAGGAATCTGAACTCAGTTTCCGGCCTGAGCCAGTGGCTGCCACGGTAAAACGGATGGAATATGTGGGGCCAGCACCTCGCATTAGCCCCTCCCTGCAGCAGGAGGCTTTGGGGCAACACAGAGGGGTGGGTGAACCCAGCGAGAAATGAGCCATTCTATCTGCCCTCATGGAGCAGCCCGGGGCTGAGCTGGGGATAGTGTAGTCAGGGACCAGGCACATTTCATTCCCAGGTCTGCCGCTGCCCCTCAGTCCCAATCTGCTATTCTAGTCCTAGGCTTCTCACTCACCCTTCCCAGCCCACAGACCCATCATGCCTCCTCCCCACCCCTCAGCTCTGGAGAGTCCCTCAGCTCAGACTGAAAGAATCCCAGGCCAGAAGGGAGCACTGTGACCTTCCAGTCTGACCCCTCGTATAGTACAGGCCAGAGAACTTCCCCCGGTGATTCCAGCCACGAGCCGTGCCCCAGACACACACCTGTGGCTGGCTATCATCTTCCAGATGGACAGCAGTGTCTTTTTGAAAAGCAAATGTCGCAGTGGGCGATCCCAGCTGAGCGGCACCCTGCGCAGAGAGCGGTCCCCCCGGGGCCCCCCGCCCCGGAGCCGTGCCCCAGACACACACCTGTGGCTGGCTATCATCTTCCAGATGGACAGCAGTGTCTTTTTGAAAAGCAAATGTCGCAGTGGGCGATCCCAGCTGAGCGGCACCCTGCGCAGAGAGCGGTTATCAGCTCACTGTAGATGGAGCAGAGTGCTAAGAAGAGCTAAGGACAGAGCGCTCATGCCAACACCTCCCAATATCGAGTGGTACCAAAACATTCCAATATTAAACATGGCATGAAAACATTCCTTCAAAATAGCAGGAACCACACTGACCCCACCTAAAAATAAGGTTAGGGTAACAATATGTAATAGAAATGTTTTAATTAACCCAACGTGTACCAGGCGATGGATGATGACTAGCCATGCCAAAGGGTCAGTACTAACTTGTTTGCATGGGGGGGGGGGGGGGGTACCACTGTTTAGCCTAGGGAGGAACGGTAAGTCCTGCCGTTTACATAGCTGGTCCATTATTACAAACATGCATGTATTAGTGGTGCGGTAGAATTTGTGGCGTACTGGTACCATGCTTTGTTGAAAATCAGCCTAGCTGGTGCCTTCATCCTTTAACGGATTCGGTAGTTATTGGGTACTTTGCTCAAGGTCTGCCATGCCAGCTGCCTGTGCAGGGAGGGGGCAGCACACAGAGGGAACACACATGTAGCCCAACATCTATCAACATCTGGCCACACTCGTCATGCCAGATAAGGAGCAGGAGTTTTACTCCACTGCTGCCCTCCAGGGTGAGACAGGTCTCTGCTCTTCAGCTTGTGCTCCGAACAGAACCCCCTCCAGGTAGCTGCTGAGCAAGTCTCCCCATCAGGAACGTGTGGTGCAGCATTTCCGAAGCTATTGCTTTTGTTTGGGTCTCTCCATACTCTCACTTTGGGGTTCAGCTCCATTGTACCCGACTCTCAGGCCAGCACAGATCTTTAGCAATGGCTCAGGGATGGCTGAGGCACCAAGGTCTCAGTGACAGGCAGCCAAGCCGGGGAGCTGTGACTGAGCTCCTGCTGGACCAGGTGTGTCTCCTGCTCGGGTGGGAGCGGAGCTCTTTGGCTCAGATCCTCAAAGGGACGTTAGGCAGAGCTGGGATCCCCCCACCTGCTACCGAACACTCTCGGCACCAAAACTCACCAGGCGGGGAAAGTTCCCCTGCACCTTAGGGTCTGCCTCTGGCAGTGTCTGGATGCCCCTCTCGTGCCTGTGCCTCAACCAGCTCCTCAAAGGGGCTGCATAGCTTGCCTGCAGGGTCCCAGCTCAAAGGCACGCTCCAAGCATGGTTGCCCTGCACAGCAGGCCAGGTGAAGAGGGCAGGAGTCTGATTATGACCTTCAGCTCAGTAGCTAAGGCACGCACCTGAGAGGGCTGGTGCCCCTTCCTACGGGGTGAAGCAAAGGGATTTACCTTCTGGTGAGGACCCCCCCTCCCGGGCTAGTGGAGCACCCGAGGCAGGGGTCTCTCTTGGGGAAGTCATTCCACTTGCTATTAGCAAATGACATATCAATGCAGGTGCTGCATAGTGTGCTGAGGGGCTGTTCTAGGCCCCTGGCACCTAAGCCAGGCATTGCAGCTTCCAGTGATATTCTTCACACCTTGGTGTGGACCTAGTCCTTGTCGCTCCGCCCCAGGTCCCATGTTCCATCCCAGGGCCCTCCCTCACTCCCAGCGCCGTGCCAAGCTGCGGCTCAAGTGCACAGAACTCACAAGGCTCTGTGGCCTGTCACTCTAAGGGTGCCTGGGTCCTCACGCCACAAGCTGCGAACAGCTGTGACATGAATGAAGCAGGACAAGGAGTCCAGTCGTTTGTCCGTCTCTCTGCAAAATGAGATGTCCCAATCCCCGTGAATACGCCCGCAGGAGGAGGCATGCAGCGACAGCACATTGAGGAGCAGGCACAAGAAGACACAGGGTTATAGGCGGTGATCAGAGATGGGCTGAATTGGTTCAGGGCAGCTCTGAGGAGAAGCCAGGAAGGCAAAGGGCCTTATTGTGATGGGTTTTGGTTCCTGTCCTGACGGGACAGATTTTTCATGCTCTGCTGCATCCTTTTTTTGGAGAGCCAGACCAGCTACTCTGGCGTATAACACAGCCTGCCTGTTACATGCACTTCCACCCTGCTCCCAGGCCAGGTCTGCCGTGGCTGCCTCTGCAGACCATCTGGGAGTGGGACTGGACTTTTGTGCCTGGCAGGCCTAGCCAAATCACCCCAACACAAACTCGGGTTTCCTGTACATCTGGTTCCACCTCCTATTTCACCTCATCTGAATTAGGACTATCAGCCAAAGGCTGGAAGCCCCATCACCATCCAGGGCCCTCCCCTTTGCTCACCTGCCCTGAGGTGACCCCCTCCACATACATGCGCTCTGGCTTGGGCCCATGGAGACAGGTCCACTCTATGCCACAAAGGTGGAGCCAAGAGGCCACAGCATCAGCAGCGCCTACCAGACCTAGACTGACCTAGGACTGCGCTACTCACAACGGCGAGGAGGCTGGGCTCATGAGACTGGAGTCCGCCAGGGATGCTCTCACACTGCAGCTCTTGCTGTCACCATGTGCAGAGAGCTCGTCCTCCTCAAGCAAGCGGCTCTCGGATTGCTCCAGAACGTCCCCCTGAAAACAGACAGAAAGGAAGAGTAACGCCGGGCACCTCAGTGACAGGGCTGCCTGGCAAAGCGGCAGATCCACTGGAATCCCCCAGCCAGGGCTCAGACTTGCTGCATGTGCCCTTTACAGCCAAGCTTCAAGGGGGGCCTCCGTAGTCTCTTGGAAGCCATTCGAGCCGCTGGACGGAAGGGGCGCAGGAGCTGTGCTGAGCAGCGAGTCTCCTGTGCACCCGGCACTCGCTTTAGACCTTCCAGTCCAGTAAGACTGGTGGCCAGCCCCTCACCATCCCTTCCTCATGCTGCGGAAGCTCAGACAGCGATCACACTCTCTCCACGAGAGCCCAGATGGACACTCCCCTCTGCAGGTCCATCCAGAAACGAGGAGTGATTGGTGGAGGAGGCTCAGGGACAAAAGAGGAAGGAGAATGACTAGCTGCTACCAGTTTATCAAGGGAAGCAAAAAAGCAAGGGGGAAGGGGGCAGACATGTCAGGGAGAGACGATGGACTAGCTGAGGAAAAGGAAGGCGGAAAGATGTGGTAGCTAAGGTCAGTGAGGAACCAGGTACTGATATCTCGGCAAGGAGGGGCAGCAGGCCAAGGGTCAGGAAGCTACTAAAACAACCCACCAGGAAGCAGAGCTGTGACCCTGCCTGGTCAGAACAGAGTGAGGTCACTGACTTGCAGCCCACAGTGGAGCCCTGCCCCACATTCTGAAAAGTCTTTGCCCGCCTTGCTGAACTGATCATGCACAGTGGAGAAGGCTTCTCAAAAAAGCAGGAGCCCTCTCCGCTATAGAGCCAGGTGCACGCCAAGGAGCAGGGCAGTCCTGCCTCAGGAAGCTCTGGACACTGTAAAAGATTCTCCACTCAAGATGTGTGAACTGGAGCCAAAGCTGTCCTGGCAGTTGGAAGAGTCCTGGGGTGCTACTTTCCAAAAGGGCCAATGCCTCATTCATGGAAGGAATCTTCACTTCCCCTTCGAAACATGCACTGGACCAGCCAACACTCAAAAGTTTCATTCCAGATACATCAGTTCTAGCCAACTACCAGGATCAGTATCCATAGCAACCCTTCGGTTCCTGAGAAGCTAACCAAAGGCAGATCTAGCCACCTACAAGCTTGCCTCAGAAAACAGGAATCACCATAGTGGATCAAACCCATGGCCCATCTGTTCACTGTCCCTGCAGTTCAGAGAGAAGTGCTACTTAGGGCACTACATGGGAGTGCAAGTAGAAGTAGTGGTTTGACTCAGAACAGGGCATCTTGGAATGCGCCAGATGGTGAAATTTGAGGCAGTGGACCAAGAAACTGGAGGAATGCTCCATTATATGGGACTTTGGAAACTGAGGCAATGTCTAGACTGCAGGCATCTTCCGAAAGAGAGTGTCTGCACATAAAAGCGCATCAAAAAAGTTATCTGATTTTTCAAAAGATAGCGTGCACACACTGAATGGACGCTATCTCACATTTAAGCTGTGATTACTATGGACGGAATGGCCACCAGAGTACCTGTGCTTTTTCCTTTTCTTTTGAAAGAACCCCCTCTGCCCCGTCCACACACGCCTTTTTCGAAAAGAACTCTTTTTGAAAAAGGCTTCTTCCTAGTAGAAAGAGGAGTACCAACGCCACAGAAACCGCTCTGTTCTTTCGATTTATTTTTGGAAGATCACAATTGCAATGTGGATATGACTCAGGTTTTGTTGGAAAAACAGCCGTTTTTCCAACAAAACTCTATCATGTAGACATATTCAAAGAACAAATCATTGGAATGCTCCTGTTCTGCCCTGCACTGGGAACATAGTGGCTGGCAGACTTCTGTTGCAGTAGAAGGGGGACAGACACTGTGCTGCTTTGACATTGCTCAGCACGGAGAGCTCACAGAGCTACTCATGATGCCGCTCCCAGGTGCTGAGGAGGCTGTGGGAGAACTCGGAGGGAATCCCAAGATAAATAACTGTCTCATGCGCTTTTGCAAAAGTGTTCAGACAGCATGGATACTCCTAAAGCAAGCTGATGGCCATTCTGTGCATAGCAACTAGGGCACCTGTGCTTTTTCCTCTTTTTGCACAAAACCCCCCTTCCCTGTCCACACACACCTTTTTGCAAAAGAGCTCTTTTACAAAAAGGCGTTCTTCCTCGCAGAATGAGGAATACCTCTGCTGGAAAAAACCCTCTGTTCTTTCGATTTTTTTGCACAAAAATGCGCTTGAGGTGAAAATGGCCATTTTCCCAAAAAAACTCTGTAGTGTAGACATAGCCTGAGTGAGTCCTATAGATACATGTCCAGGACACCCTGGGCCTGGTTGTACAGGAGAAGCAGGTGAATCTGCAAAGGCACTGTTCATCTTTCATATCTGACATGGTAAAGCAAAGAGCTTGGCCACAGATACAGAAAAGACACTGTCGGACCCAGCATCATCATTGCCTTTAGTACAGTAACACCTAGCAGTGAGAAGCTGAGATGGCCTGGCCTGAGCAGGCACAGGAGACAGAGTCTAATACACAAGTCAAAGCAAGGATCATTGTCCCCATTTTACAGAGGGTCAACTGAGACCTAGAGAGAGTTGAGTGACTTGCCAGAGATCACACAGGCTTGTCTGCACAGACTAGGTCTCTGGAGTCCCAGTGTATGCAGGCTGTCTGAACGGACCCAGGTTTCTGGAGTCCTAGTGCATGGCCTTAAGATGATGAGGTGTTTTCATGCATTTACCTTCACACTGTCTGGGAATGCCTCCTCCAATGCACTCATATCTGAATAAGTCTCATCCATCAGCAGTGTTCTGATCTCTTCCTCCTCCATTTCTTCCACATCCTCCACTGGAAAATTTAGCCCTCTCTGCGCTCCTGAATTGCTTTCCTCCCCTCCTGGGACCTGGAGCTCTCCTGTTTCCGCTTCTAGAATCTGCTGTTCATCAGGTTCTCCAGCCTCCCAGCCCAGGACCTGTGGCTCTCCTGAGACCTGTGGTACCCTTGCCTTCCCGACCTCTCTTCCTGGGACTTGCAGGTCCCCAGCCTCTTCCATCAGGACTGGCAGCTGCCTTTCTTCCCCACTTGGAACTGGAGGCCCTGTCATTTCTTCTTTGAAGCTCAGGATCTCCCTTTCCTCTTGCTGCCCAAAGGCAGAGAAAGCCCAGTGATCGTGTGTGGAACCTGTGCCACTAATGCAGAGAGGTTCCATGAGGTGGGTCACCTGTAACAGAGCAATTTATTACCAACGGCAACCTATGAAAGCACCAGTAAGTAGGGGAAGGGGTCAGCAGCACAAACTCCATGGGGCTCCTCCATTACAGCTTCTTTTCACCTTTAGGGACTTCTACTAGAGAGCAGCGTCTAAGCCAAGAGTATTCTTAAAGAAGCGTCAGCCCATCACCTTTTAAACGCTTGGCTCTCCATCAGGGTCAGGGCTCAGGAAACCCATGGGCAAGACAACCAGCCAGCCCCTGAGCCTTCTAAATACGGTAGAGACCTGGACTTTCCTGTGAGAAGACAATCATCCATGACAGAGGCTCTAGGGGGCTCTGCTGCTCCACAACAAGGGTACGTCTAGACTACATGGCTCTGTCGCCGGAGCCGTGTAGATTTGTTTGTTCGGCAAAGGGAAATGAAGCTGTGATTTAAAGAATTGCGGCTTCATTTAAATTTAAATGGCTGCGGCTCAGCGCGCTAGTCTGGACGCTCCCGCGCCGACCTGAAAGCCCTTTATCGACCTCCCCCTTATGCCTTGTAGGATGAGGTTTACCAGGGAGGTCGGTAAAGGGCTTTCATGTCGGCAGGGGAGCGTCCAGACTAGCGCGCTGAGCCGCAGCCATTTAAATTTAAATGGCTGCGGCTCAGCGCGCTAGTCTGGACGCTCCCGCGCCGACCTGAAAGCCCTTTATCGACCTCCCCCTTATGCCTTGTAGGATGAGGTTTACCAGGGAGGTCGGTAAAGGGCTTTCATGTCGGCAGGGGAGCGTCCAGACTAGCGCGCTGAGCCGCAGCCATTTAAATTTAAATGAAGCCGCGATTATTTAAATCGCAGCTTCATTTCCCTTTGCTGAACAAACAAATCTACATGGCTCCATCGATGGAGCCATGTAGTTTAGACACACCATAAGTTACATAGGGCAGAGAAGCTCAGAGCACCAGTGGTTCTAAGACTCTTCCCCTGCTACCCACTGCACTGCAGCAGCACTACCTCCAAGAGGAACTGCAGAAGACTATCTTGTTCACACTGCCCTGCCTCTTCCTGGAGCTCTTCACTGCCATCCTCCCAAACCAGAGGTTCCCTGGACTCCAGCCTGCAATCCTCTTCCTCTTGTTCCTCCACAGCAGCCTCTTTGTTCGTCCTCCAGCTCCCCACCTCCTGCTCCAGGCTGGAGTCCCAGGAGCTGCTGGGAGACAGGCAGCTGCTCTTCACAGACTCGCTGGGTGAGACTCTCTTGGACTCCAACCACAGCCACGCACGACCCATCTGCAAGCACACATAGGGGCAGGATAAGCCGTCTGTTTCCAAACAAATCCCCAACTGCACAGACTCCAGCCCAGGACGCCAAACCATGGAAAAGTCATGTGGAGAGCAGAGCCTGCTCCTGAGCCCAGACGCCACAGCCCATTCTCTGCTGGTGCAATCAAAGACCCCAGCTGAACCACAGATGCTGCCATTTCCGCATGACTGAATATTAGAATCCTCTGGCACTTCAGCACCCAACCCAGCCCTCGAGGGCCCTCATCTACTGTGCTAGATAGCAAGGGCACTGTCCTACTTTTACCGCAGTAACGCCCAGCATTGGGAAGCTGAGATGGCCTGGCCTGACTCTTGCCTGGGCACAATACACAAGACAAATCGTCCCCATTTTACAGATGGTGAAGTGAGACCCAGAGAGAGTCAGTGACCTGCCCGAGATCACACACAGGCTGTCTGAAGGGACCTAGGTCTATAGAGTTCCAGCCTTAAGACGAGGTGTTTTCATGCATTTCCTGGGGCCTGGGCAGGATGCAGGTCTGTGGTGTACAGAAGGGGTGCAGGGACGTGAGAACGCAGCCGATGGCAGCAAGAGCTCCACAGAGGAGTGGTGCCTTGGGAACCGGAACATTATTTCGCTGCTGTGAATAATCCCTGGTTTTGAGAAATGCTCTGCTCCCAGGAGAACACTTGGTATTTTGGAGTCTCCTGAGAACAAGTGCTCTAGAAACACGTGTTTTATGTGAAAGCTGAGATCAGATGGAGAAGCTGGGTCATGTGTGCAGCCCTAGAGGAGATCGAACCGAGGAAACAGAACCACGCATTTGTTCTCCATGTGGCCGTGGCATCAGGAAAGCAAGTTGTTTACTTTGTGGAAATGGGAGCAGGAGGTTGCTATTGGGACCCTCCTTCACCTTTTGGCGGAAACAGATGGAATTTGACTCCTGAAATGACCATGAGACAACATGATGTCTCAGACTGGTGCTAAGTGGAAAGGCACAACAAAAAAACCTTCCTTATCTCCCATTAGCAGTCTGGATTCTGAAATGTACAGGAAGGCTGGGTTAGTTCTGCGCCTCTGCAATGTGGCTAGGCTACTGCTACTGCAAAAGCCTTCGCTTTGGGATCATCCGAGTGTGCATTTAAAAAACAGTGTTGCACAAATCTGCACCTGAATTAATTTCATATTAAAGTTCATGTACATACATAATACATGCCTAGGAAAAAGGACTGATGAATGCCAGGTGACCCAAATAGAATAAACAGAATCAAGTAATCCATCTCCTATCACTCATTTCCATCCCTGACAGAGGCTAGGGACTCCACCACTGCACATGCTGGCGAACAGCTATTGATGGACCTATCCTCTATGAATTTACCTAGTTCTTTTTTGAATTCTGTTCTAGTCTTGGTCTCCACAACATCCTCTGGCAGGGAGTGCCACAGGTTGACTGTGTGCTGCATGAAGAAATACTTCCTTTTGTTTGTTTTAAACCTGCTGCCTATTAGTTTCATCTGGCAACCTCTAGATCACGTTATGGGACTGAGTAAATAACACTTATCTGCTTTCTTCACACCAGTCATAATTTTATAGACCTCTATCATATCCCCCTTTAGTCATCTCATGTCCAAGCTGAAAATCACAGTCATATTAATCTCTCTTTATTGGGCATCTTTGAGAGGGATGTTTTGATTGTGTCACCCATCTAAATAGCCCTGAACATGCTTAAAATTGTCTGTAGTAGCACATGGTATGGGTATAACTTTTTTGTGTTCAGTGGACTGTGGTGTCCTCACTCTCATCTTCCCTCTCCTCTGTTACCTCAGAGGGTTCAAGTACTTATGTCCGTGCTAAGGAAATTGACTTTTGGTGAACAGAGAGAGGTCTCTGAAATTGAGCCCTGTAGGCAGCCATTGTGGCCCCTGAGGGAATGGTCTTGGTGCATGCTCATGCCGCTGATCAGAGATTTTTGCCTTGCAGTGCCCCTGGTGCCATGCCTAAGCACTCTGGGTCTTGCGTTGTTGCTGTCTGTTGTGTGTGTGGTACAAACCCCCCTCAGTTCTTTTTCTATCTGAAATCCATTACAGGACTCCAAACAGAGGGGAGAAAGGGAGGGGCGTGGAGCACTCACAGGGACACACATCTCGAAGAACCATTGTTACTGCACAGGGTGAGTAACAATGTCTTCTCCGTTGAGTGGTGTCCCTGTGGGTGCTCCACTCAGGTGACTTAGTAGCAGTACCCGCCAGATGGTGGTGTGCATTGGAGTCATTTATGTAGAGGAGGAAGGACCGTGTCTGCCAGAATGGTGGTCCTCTCTGTAGAGCATAATGCTGTGTGAAAGTGTGATCGGAGGACCACGTCGCAGCTCTACAAATGTCCACCAATGTTACGTTATGCAGGAAAGCCATTGTTAGGGCCATCGCATGTGTGGAGTGAGCCCTGATGATCTGATGACGACTGTTTTCCACAAAGTTCGTAAGCGGTGTATATGCAGTTCGCAATCCATTTGGAGATATGTTGCGCCAAGATGGCTGTTCCCTCGTATGGCCTGGACCAAGATATGAAGAGTCTGTCTGACTTCCTGGTCTCTTTGGTTCTATCTAAGTAGAACGCAATGGCTCATCTTGCATCCAGTATGTGCAAGATGGATTCTCTTGAGGAGGTACAAGGCTTAGGACAATATGAGGGTAAGTATACAGGTTCATTTAGGTAGAAGTCCGATATGACCTTGGGGAGACATTTGGGATGAGGCCTGAGTACAACCATATGTTTAGTACAAGTGGTGAAAAATGGTTCAGCCATGAAGGCTGCAATTTTGCTCACCTCTTGCAGATGTTATTGCCACTATGAAGGCCACTTTCAGGGACAAGTATTATGGTAAATGCGGTGGCTAGTGGTTTGAAGGGTGGCCTGGTGAGTGTGTCAAGAACAAAGTTTAAGTCCCAAGGTAGCCACATTTCACGGTCTTTTCTGGCTCTCATTGTCATATTTAGACAATGTGGGCACTTGTGTGCCGCGTGAGTTTCTCCCAGACATTTCATGCAGGACGCATGTCTGTCAGAAACTGGTATTGAATCCTGGCATGAGTTGCATTTCTTAAAGGCGGGAGAGCCCGGCATGCTGAGGAAAAATAAAGCCACAGCGGTTTTTTGTTTTTGTTTTTTTTAAACTGAAAGAATCGTTGAAAACAGTTATGAACTGACTAAATTTATGAACTCTTTCTAAATTAAATATACTATTTGTTTGCTTCCTGTCAGAAAAGGAGAGCTCAGCTGTGACTCTGTCTTCAGCTGAGGACAGCAGAAAAGGAACCGAGGGAGGTTTGCGCTGCGCGCACCCAGCAGACAGCAACAGCACAAGAGTGCTTAGGCATGGTGTGAGGGGCACTGCTAGGCAAAAATTTCTGATCAGAGGCCTGAGGAGCACCACAGGGACAGCACTCGACGGAGAACCATGGGATAGTGAGCATGGTGGTAAACCTTTGCTGGTCTGTTTGTATTTGTGATGGTGGGCAGTGCCTGTTGGAGAGGTGTGTCTGTAGAAGATGACAGTTTCCTTTGCAGTGTTACTTCATCATTCAAGAAAGGTGGAATAATGGGAAAGTCAGGCTGGTCTCATGCTATTGGCACGGGCAAAACATTGGTGCTGAGCAGGGGAGGCCCCGATGTGGATGCTGCTTGTCTGTCCAAAGGTTGTATGGGAGGGTTTGGTGTCACTGTAGGCAAAGCCACTTCATCCAGTAGCCGTGCAGTTAGTGCCAATTGTTTGTGCATGGTCTTCCTAGGTGCAATCGTCCTCCATTACAGCTCCACGGCTGGCGCCAATGAACTTGGTACAGGAGGGGGAGCCTTCACTTGTGGTAAAAGTTGCAGTACCGTGCCCTTAGGGGTAGTTGGTGCCATGGAGGCGGAGACCATTTTGTCTTGTCAGCACAGGTACGGACATTGCTGGAGGTTCCTGGTGCATCAAAGATGTTTGCTCTGGATGAGGTGGGACCAAGGGCAGTGCTCTCACTGGAGGCTACCTCTTTAACGGTTCGTGACCCAGTGAGGACAAGGGTCTTTTCCTTGATTTTTTAGAGGAGGAAGCACTTAATCTGTCCAGAGGCTGTATCTGGAGAATCTCTTGTCATCGTCTGTCCAGGGTCTGATACAGAAGTTAGGGATTTCTGCATTAAAATGAGTTGGAGAGCCATATCTCTTCTTGCCCTAGCCTGCAGATTGCTTCCGTAAGCACACTTCTGAGATATGTACAACTCGCCCAAGCATTCAATACATTTCTTTTTTAATAGTTCGTGACACAAAGGGAGTGTCCATCAGGTACTGGCATAGCATCTTTGCAAGATGCACCCCTTCTAACCTAGGGATTCAGGAACATATAAGGCGTCCCCACTGAGAACTTCAGGACAAAAAAACCCTCGTTTTTTTAAACTCTAAACTTAACTGACACTAACTCACTAGGAATTCACTAAACTGTGAGTAGGTGTTAAAATAAGCTGGTAACTATTTTAATGTCAATAATGACACCACTAACAGACACAGAAGCCAAGAATGATAAAGGAGGAACTGAACAGGTTGGGATGTGTATGTTAGAAGACATGCCCAGAGATGCCATGAGACCAGTACTGCACATGAATACCTGCCCAGCTATTGCTAGTGAAAATCCCAGACTGCTGGTGCCAGGATGCACTGCTGCCAGAAGTGGAACACCCACAGTGATAGCATTAGAAGAATTTCATTTAGTGACTGGTGCCATTGTTTCTTTTGCGGGACACTTTAAAACACTCAGCTTAACATCCAGGTCACACAATGCACAACTCCCATTAGGAGAGACAGCTGGTGTCAGAT